TTATTCTGCAACTTGTTTTATTACTTAAGATAACAAAGTACTAGGTATGTTTTAGGACAAGCAAGGATTTCTTTCTCTTGTATAATCTTGCCCAAAAATGTTTTTATTGTTTTTATGCCAGCCATCCTTAGACGATCAGTTTTAGGTTAAAAAAAAACACAAATTGCGATTTTGATACAAAGTGTTGCAAATATATTTACAAATGAAATCAGGGGCTTTGTTTATGATGTGCTTTATTTATTGCAACATAAAAATAAAAAAACCAAAAAGAAATGTCAACAGAAAGTGTAAATAATACAGTATTGGTAGAAAATGGAAATCAGTAATAAAAAAGGCAATAAACACAGCAGGAAAATAATAGCTGGGAGAGAAGGGGAAGGATAAAGAATGTTACTTTGTATCTCTCTATCTCCCTCTGAACAATGTTTATAAACAATGTTGCTTTGTATCTCTCTATCTCCCTCTGATCAATGTTTATATACAATGTTGCTTTGTATCTCTCTATCTCCCTCTGATCAATGTTTATATACAATGTTGCTTTGTATCTCTCTATCTCCATCTGATCAATGATTATATACAATGTTACTGTGTATCTCTCTATCTCCATCTGATCAATGCTTAGAAACTATGTTACTTTGTATCGCTCTATCGCCCCTCTGAAGAAGGTTTTTTACAGCAGTTGCTGAAATATCTTCTGTATTTACACAGCAACACCCTGCAGGAATTGCTAGAAAATACAGGGGGAGCAGCAGAGGGGCAGAAGGGCAGGACAGGGCATAGAATACACCTCCTATGTACATTAGGTTTTTTAAGGTGTATGTAGCATGCCAATGTCCACAACTAAACAAACACCACTCTGTTCTGTACATAATGCCATTGATGACTTACTAAAAGTATCATTATCTCACTTAATGAACGTGCAACGTGCAGGCACAGACGTGTGTTTTACCAGCTGCGTTTGGGGTGCCATTAACAAGCAATGTCTACTTTCTCTGTCCGGCCCCTCCCACCAACAAAAACCACCCCCCATTAGTACGAGCAAAACCTATGAGATTTAAGAGAAACATTAGAGTTATTTACAACTTACGCAGCACATTGACATCAGTCCCTACCCTCAAGGAGCTTACAATCTAAGGTCCCTATCTCACATGCATACATAGAGGGCCAATTTAGAGCGGAGCAAATTAACCTACCAGCATGTCTTTCGATTGTCGGAGGAAACCCAGACAAGCATAGGGAGAGCATGCAAACTCCTTACAGAGAGTGACTTGACCGGTATTTGAACCAGGGACCCCCAGTGCGGCAAGGCAGATGCGCTAACCACTATGCCACTGTGCTGCCACTGTTCCTACTTACCCCTCCCCATCTCCCAGCCATGGTACCTAGGCAAGGATGACATCACACTTCGTCCATTGGGATCCTGAGTAATATAGAGCAGCCATGAGAGGATGCTTGCAATGGACTGAAGTGTCCTCTTACTAGATTTTCACTAATCTTCCCGGAAGGACTGTGATGTCACTGGCTTGTGTTAGGCTGGGTTCACACCTAGGCGTATCGAATATGCACGTTTGTCGCGCGTTGCGTGCCGCGCGTTTTTACCACGGTTCGCGGGAACAAAAAACAGCGTGACAAACGCATATTTCCGAGGGCTACCTGGCTGTATCCCAATGGATACGCGCGGCAAATACGCCCCAAAGAAGTTCCTGTACTTCTTTGGGCGTAGGGCGTTTTGCAGTGCATTCCTACGCGCTGTAAAACGCCCAGGTGGGAACCATGCCCATAGGCAATCATTTGTTTTCACATGTTGAGCGTTTTACAGAGCGTAGGAACGCGCTGTAAAACGCCCAGGTGTGAACCAGGCCTTAGGGAAACAAAGATGGGCATGCAAGAAAGCACATTAGGGGACCAACCGTGTCCAAAAGCATACAGTTGTTTGCCAGCTTGATCACGATCATCATCATCAGGCAACAGTCATCTCATGTCAATGGGTGGTATAGAAAAAATGGATCTTTAGTAGACCAGTACAATTTTCGGTCGTCTTTCTTTGGATTAATTCAAAGATAAGCAACCTAAAACTGTACTGTTAATTCTAACTGAACAGTCATTTCAGTGACTGTTCAGTTGGGATGCTAACTGTACTGACTAGATAGAAAAACAAAGAAAGGAGCGCTACAACCCTAGGATTCTTATTGTTTAACCGTTTGGAATCTATGGATAGACATAAATGTAGACTCACTTTTGGAAGATGGTGTTGTGCCGTTGGAAAGTGAAGACTGTTTGTCAGCATGGAACACACGGCGGCATCTGTAGCTGGTCTGCGTGACTGTGAGCACCAGGCTTCATGGCTCTTATTGAGTCCCTTAGTGTCAGCGGGGTGATGAGTGTGGCTGGAGCGCCCGTTGGAGCGAGGTGGACTGTGCGTGTAACCGTGACGCTCTCCGTCAGGTACAATGAGAGCTCAGCTGGCCAGGCTGCCACTCGTCGGCTGAACGGGAGCAGAGGTGGTAATGGGTCAGCGGTCGTTATGAAAAAAGTTTCTGGAATAGGCGACAGGTTGAAGGACCCTGAGTCCCGTGGGTGGGTGGTTTGGCTATGCGTTTCGAGGCTCTATGCCTCTTTGTCAAACCCGAAATAATTCCCCCAAATCTGTTTCTTATTATCATCCACATCTGTTGTGCGCTCGCCATTTCTACTGTTTTTTATCTAACTGTACTGACTGACACCAAGCAAGGCACTAAAAGAAGACTAAACCAACAGAGGTAATGATGTGATCACAGACAAAGTGGCACTGCAAGAGCGGGAAGGTGTAAAGGTTTGGATAGAATTCATGATATTGTCCTTTTGAAAGGCTCCCGGTGATTGAATGTTCTTGTGTTTGATGTTTTTCAGTCATGGGGAGGGTGACGCTCTTGCAGCTGTGGGCCGCGCTGGTTCTCCTGTGTGGTAAGAAAAACAAATTAGTTGTAAATATCACCTTGCATATAATAAATCTGTCTTATCTTGTTTGTCTACATTCTCTCGTCTATATCAAATATTGACTCTTCTCTCAGACCTTGTCACATCCATATCTATAATGTCGTCTTCCTACGGAACACACAAAGATAACATGCATTCCTTCATTATTGAATAATTAGGTTCAGCCTTGAAATGGTGGGAACCTACCCCCCCACCACCACCACCACCACACCCCCATGACTAATTTATGAAGGTCCATACATCTAGTGTGTAGGCGCCTCACTTGCTGCATGCTAGCTCCAGGTCGGTGACTTGCCAGATTATGAGGACAGGTTAAGGGTTGACAGCGCCGGAACTCAAAATGGATCTCTGGGCAAAAGAAATGACGTATGTGATGAGGTCTGTCAGTAGCATTAACACAAAATAAAATGGAGGCGCCACCAAATGGAGGACTCCACAGAAGACGTGTAAGTTTCCTTTCGTTCCAAATTGAAATTTGGATGAATTTCATTAAATATCCATCAGATATTTGGATGCATCCAATGCACCAAATGCATCCAAATTCGGACTAGTTCCAATTTCTTTTTGCGAATTTCATCCAAATTTCCAGGACCAGTGAGGACCAGTATAAGCTAAAATCACCAGTATGGACTAAGATGACAGTACAGACTAAGAGGATCAGTATAGACTAACATGACCAATATGGATTAAGATGTCCAGTATGGACTAAGAGGACCAGTACGGACTATCATGACCAGTACGGACTATCATGACCAGTATGGATTAAGATGACCAGTATAGACTAAGAGGACCAGTACAGACTAAGAGGACCAGTACAGACTAAGAGGACCAGTACAGACTAACATGACCAGTACAGACTAACATGACCAGAATAGATTAAGATGTCCAGTATGGACTAAGAGGACCAGTACTGACTAACATGACCAGTACAGACTAACATGACAGGTATGGATTAAGATGTCCAGTACGGACTAAGATGTCCAGTATGGACTAACATGACCAGTACGGACCAACATGACCAGTACGGACTAACATGACCAGTACAGACTGACATGACCAGTATAGATTACAATGTCCAGTACATACGAAGACGATCAGTACAGACTAAGAGGACCAGTACAGACTAAGAGGACCAGTACAGACTAAGAGGACCAGTACAGACTAAGAGGACCAGTATGGACTAACATGACCAGTACACACTAACATGACCAGTATGGATTAAGATGTCCAGTATGGACTAAGAGGACCAGTACGTACTAACATGACCAGTACAGACTAACACGACCAGTATAGATTAAGATGTCCAGTATGGACTAGAGGACCAGTACAGACTAAGAGGACCAGTACAGACTAAGAGGACCAGTACAGACTAAGAGGACCAGTATGGACTAACATGACCAGTATGGACTAACATGACCAGTACACACTAACATGACCAGTATGGATTAAGATGTCCAGTACGGACTAACATGACCAGTACAGACTGACATGACCAGTATAGATTACGATGTCCAGTAGAGACGAAGACGATCAGTACAGACTAACATGACCAGTACAGACTAACATGACCAGTACGGACTAACATGACCAGTATGGACTAACATGACCAGTATAGACTAACATGACCAATATAGACTAACATGACCAGTACAGACTAACATGACCAGTACAGACTAACATGACCAGTAAATACTAACATGACCAGTACAGGCTGACATAACCAGTATAGACTAACATGACCAGTACAGACTAACATGACCAGTAAAGACTAACATGACCAGTAAAGACTAACATGACCAGTATAGGCTGACATGACCAGTATAGACTAACATGACCAGTACAGGCTGACATGACCAGTATAGGCTGACATGACCAGTACAGACTAACATGACCAGTACAGGCTGACATGACCAGTATAGACTAACATGACCAGTACAGGCTGACATGACCATTAAAGACTAACATGACCAGTACAGGCTGGCATGACCAGTATAGACTAACATGACCAGTATAGACTAACATGACCAGTATAGGCTGACATGACCAGTACAGACTAACATGACCAATATGGATTAAGAAGTCACTTTCCAGGGAAGCACTCTAGACTATTTATCATGTAAGCCGCCAGCCTTTCTACACAACAGCCCGGTCTATAACAAATTCCAAAATATTATCAATAAAAAACATGCGAAAAATGTAAAACATTTTATTTTTTATTGTAGTTTTTTTCTGCATCAATTTCCAGGGAAGATTATTTTGTCTTTAATCGGAAAGCATTCTGGATGATTTCTCATGTACAACGCCAGCCTTTCTATATAACAGCCCCGTCTAAAAGAAACACCAAAATATTATTCACAAAAAGCATGCAAAAAATGTCAAACATTGCGTCATTTTTCAGGGTCGGCGTTTCTTTGTTTTTACAGACGTTGCTCTCTAGGGAAAAAATTATTTTATCTCTTTCATTGGTAAAGAATATTACACAGAAAATGTCTTGTGTAAGCCACAAATCAGTCCGGTCTGTAAGTTCAGTAGACCGTACTATCTGTATTTACTCAAATAAATGTGACTGGTTATACCTGCGCCTTTTAAGTCGATACTGGAGAGCATAAAATCGGTAATTTTCTGCAGACAGTCATGTAAAATAATAATAATAATAATTCTTTCTGCTCCATTCACCAGCTTATGTAATAACGTTGCAGCTCTGCACAAACAAATTCCTGACATGTCATTATACATGGCTGCAGTGTATATATACAGTGTATATATATATATATATATATTTAAGTTCCACCTTTTAGCATTAAAAAAACAATCCTTGAGGTCCGGTCGGTGACATTGCCTAGGCTGAGATGATGTGATCAGTCTGCTGCATGCAGGAGGAAGCATTTCCTCAGTCTCCCTTCCGCCAGTGTCTATCCCTGTGCTGAGTTCCCGGGTCTGTACACCCGCTGTGCCCATTATGAGGAGCTCCCACCATCCCTGTGCTGAGTTCCCGGGTCTGTACACCCGCTGTGCCCATTATGAGGAGCTCCCACCATCCCTGTGCTGAGTTCCCGGGTCTGTACACCTGCTGTGCCCATTATGAGGGGCCCCCACCATCCATGTGCTGAGTTTCAAGGTCTGTAAACCTGCTGTGCCCATTATGAGGGGTCACACCATCCATGTGCTGAGTTCCCATGCTTGGAGTCTACCAACTGAGCCTTCAATGAGTAAATGCCTTTCTTGAGCTGCAGAGAGTACTGTGACTTTTCTCATTAGGACCCCACCCCCACTTTAGTTCTGATTTTCCATTCACCTGCAAGTGCCCAGCGGTTTTCACACAAGGCAGACACAAACAAACCCCAAAACATTCAACATGCCCACATCTTCTTTTCTCTCCAGAAGGAAGGAGGCGGCTTTGTTCAGGCATCATCCAGGGACAGTGTGTAGCTTTCAGAGGGCTTCCTCTTCTGTTTTCACCCCTAAAAGTGGATTGGTGGAGTAGTGAATGGAAGATATTTGCAGCTGAGGAGGTCCTGGGAGGGTAGACATGTTCAAAGGATTGGAGGCCATACTTGGAAAAGAACTAAAGTAAGGTCCCCTGTGCTGCTTGTTCTAAAACCCTGTTTATTTCTGTGACAGGTTCTCTTTAACCATACATTAATCAGCCTGGGTAAGCAGTCCATCTAATCTGACTCTTTCTCTTTGAAGGACATGCTTACCATTCGTTCATTCTTCCTTCTTCATAAAAATCCCCCGCCCCACCCCATGTATTACGAGCCTATGTACCCAGGGCTTTCCTATGAAAAGGGAATCACATCGCTCAATCATACGGCAGGTTACCTTTTAGTCTCAACTATGGCACAGTTAACCTTTCGTCTACCTACCAACCGAGGGCTTGGCTGCATATGTTTGTCTTCCCTGTTAAACGCGGGTAACTGTTCTAGAATGCTTTATTGAAATACATAGCGGACAAGTTACACAACATTCTACAGAGAACAAAGAACAAGTCACACCGGAGGTTTTAGGTGTAGCTACAGGGGTGTGCAGGGTGCGACTTGGACAGGAGCCATGAGATAAGGGGACCCAATTAGAGCTTCTCTTCTACCAGCTATGTGCCTCTTTACTCTTCTCTCTTTACTGCTTCTTTTTGTTATCAACCTTAAGTCTTTATTCAGTTATATTTATGTTATAAAGCAGAATATAGATTATATATATATA